TGTGTTTGTGTATAGTGTGAGGCATGTATACTATTTCATCTTTTTGTTTTTTCTATTGTTTTATAGTGATACATAGTATTCCATTGTGTGTATGTCCCCAGGTTTCTTTATTCATTCTACTGATGGGCATTTAGGTTGTTGTCTGTCTGACGGCTCTTTATGGTATGTACTCAGCAGAGCGATTGCTGGATCATATAGAATTTCTTCCTACTTCTTTGAGGTAGCATCATATTACTTTCCACATTCGTTTATATTTTTACAGTACCATCAGCAAGATATGAGGGTTCCAATCTCTCCAGCATTTGTTGTGTTCTTTTAACATTGCTGTCCTTGTTGGTATTAGGCGGTATTTCACTATTGTTTCGACTTGCATCCCTTGAATGGCTAATGATTGTGAGAATTTCTTTATATGTTTGTTAGCTGTTTGGACATCATCTTTGGTGTGCTATCTGTTCATAACATTTGCCCATTTAAAAAAATGGATCATTATTTTTTGTCTGCCATGTTTTCACCAGCGTTGGATCCCGAGGACCCTGCACCCACAGGCCTGTGATCTTCTGACTTCCTGCTTCACTTTTTTGCATCACCAGCCTGCAGCTACATTAGTCTGAGGAGGGACTGACTTATGGGCTAGTATCAGACTTACGGCTTGAGTTGATATACGCCTTCTTGATAGATAAGTATATAAATACTTCTTGATATAAAGCTCTTTCTTATATATAAACGAGTATTGCTATATTTGCTTTTATAGACGACCTAGCCTAACAAGATATTAAGAATGAGTAAATACACATTGTACTTAATTTATAGCACAATTAACCCAAATGTCATGTTGTAACCACAACCTTACATAACTGTTTGAAAAAAAATTTGTATTGTGAATTAGGTGAAGGTTTACAGAACAGATCATAAGCTTTTCATTCAACAGTCCATACACATTTTGTTTAATTTCATCAACTCTATTTGCAATTCCTGTACCGTCACTTATCACTTCCTCTCCATGTTTCCTGTTTGCATTCCTCCCTTTTCCCTAACCCTCTGAACTTGGTCTTGGGTAAAGTTTCATAGTCTTTATACAACCAGTAAGTCTGGTCTTATGATTTTGAGCTGTTTCACATTTTTACCCACTCTGTCCAGGATCTTTTAATGCAATCCTTTTCAGAGCATTTGGTAGTGGTAACCAGGCACCACCTATATTGCCTGGTCACAGGGTCATTGAAGCTCATGTTTCTACTGGACTAACTGTTCCCATATGTCTGTTGATGTTTATAACTCTTCTTTAACCCAGATGGGGAGAGAGCAATAGTTCCATCTAAGACGGGGGATCATAAACTTTAAAACTACAGGCATTCCTCATCAAAGTAGAATGTAGAATATTGTCTTTGTGATTCCCCTAGAGCTATGGTCCTGAGCCCTCAAGCCTGAAACTCTTTCCTCAAGGTGTCTGGTTATGTCTAAGAAGCTTTCATACCTTTGTCTCCTTGTATGAGCTACCAGATTCATGGGTATATTTTCAGAAAAAGTAAATATACACATATAAATATCCTCTGTCAAACACACACACACACACTTGTGGGCAAACTCTCCCTCTCCCTCTCACACCTGTTCACCCTGAGTGTCTAGCCAAGGATCTACTCATTGACCACCCCTATGGTAATATTGTATCTGTAATAGTATTGGCCTCTGGAAAATCAAGGGAAATAGAGGAAAGAGCTGGGAGGCAAAGGGCATTTATAGAG